TGACTGGCAACGGGAAGACAAACAAACTTTTGAAACTTTAAACAACAAACAATGAGCAGCACCCCATATTTATTTGGCGAAGATTCATGAACAAGATATCTACTCCATTTGTTAGAAAACCTACGGAGTTCCAGAGCAGAGCCATTTAAAGCAATATAATACTGTTCTCACATCGACGCTTGGGTGCCTTGTGCTCTGGTGATAGTCGATTACCTTCGTGAAATTGCTAAATCTACTCTGGTATGAAATCGATAGGAATGACGATTTCTGCATCGATGGGCATGACAGATATGGTTTCAGCCTATCGAAGGCGTTAATAAAAATTTTGTTCTACTGGTTATATCAACATTTGAAAAAGACTTCCTCGTTCTTCTCCTTAAAAAGCTGTTTTTTATTCCTATTTTTTTTTAAATTTCTGATTTTATTATAATTATTCCACAAATTCTTATATGTTCTCTTTTTCGAGCATTTCCGCTTCCAAGTAAGTAAATATGGGAATAGTGCAAATCGTTTAGGCTCTTACCCACTGGCTTTTAGGCAACTACATCTGCATTAGCTTTCTGGCTTTTGTCATTTTTCAAAGCATTGAACCATCGGTCTCTACATTTCTGGGTAAGTGTTCTTCCTTCCCAAATGGGCCGAAAACTCTTTGTTGCACTCCGAAAACAAACCAAGTGAATACTGTGCCATAGAGGCAACGTATTCCTTCCGAATGATAAATGTTTATGTATTGTTTAAGAGATACACTCGGCCTAAATTTACATGTGCAATAGACTGAATAAATGTCGAATAAGAGTGACTCAGAAGCAACTTACATCTTGACAGCTTTGTTTCTTGAGGCTTGAGGATAAAATCAAGTACCACCGTTAGCAGCAAAAACAGAAATAAATAACTTTTGTTTCTTCAAAAGGTTTCAATTTAGGTTTTTGGAAAAAAAAATGACGCCAGACTTCCCGCGATTTGTCGGTTCATCCGGTTGGTATTTTAGTGGAACACATACATGTACTTGGTACCTCGGTTAACAAATTAAAACCTTGACAGCCAAGAGGTAGTCGCGGAGCTTTTTGGTGATGTGACCAACTATTTCCTTTGAGCACGTCATTTAAGACGGTTATTTTACTCAGATTTCCCGTAGCGTAATTTTTATGACCCTTTAAGTATGACTTTTCCAAAACCAGTCGGTCTTACAGGGCAGCATAGTAATTGAAGTCCAGGACACTTTAGACTTAGAGAGTGTAATCTATTTCTTCGCCACAACTCGGTTTGTACTTGATTGTTTTATTTTATTTTATTTTTATTATTTATTTATAATCATTGTTGTCAATTTTTTTTCACCTTTACTCGCTACATTTACTTACATTTAGCTTTCTTGCCAGTTTCATTCATATACATTTTTAGAATTGTGGTTGAATCAATATTAAATGATATGTAAATCAAACCTACCCCTAAATTTCCTTGACGATAGAGATGGCTACACGTCACGTTGAATTTAATGGACAATGCAAATAAAATCCAAGTACTTATTTCTTGTTGTTTTTTTTTCGCAGCAGTATCAAAACCACGGCGAGGAGGATAATCACTATAAACAAAAATGCTGCTTAAATAGCGATTGCCAAATAAATGAACAAGCAGTTGAGATTTTTCAAAAAATCGGCCTAATCCAGTGAATAGTTTTCCATTCACTTCTTATTGTCTTTTGAACGCACCAATATCATTAACAACTGATAGTGATTTTCTGCTTAAATAAAGGAAAATATTTCCTAACTTTGGAAAAGTGACAGATTTTTCAAATCATGCCTTTATGGGGAACACAAAAGTCATAGCCATGCATTTAATTCTAAACATTACAACTCAGTCCATGGACTACCTCGATGCACTCCTCAAATTGCCTACCCAAAAACGGACCAACCCTTTGAGTCTTTTGTCTTTTCGCCAACCAAAACAAATCGCGCTCGAAACGACTCGTAACAAAACCCTCGTTTATCTCCGGTGATAAGAAACATCTGTCACCTGTTCTTGTTTCTAATGGTTATCCTTCCTCTTTCGTGAACAAAATTAAAGAAAGCACTGAATCCCCCTCCTAGTTCAGGTCCACCACAGTCCAGTCCTGCGTGAAAAGCCTCTCCGAACAACTTCACCACTGTCTACAAGAACAAGGCGTACGCGTCGTTTTTACTGTTGGAGACTACGTTACGATTACACCTAGTGCGCTCGAAGGATGCCGTCGACCTGGCTTAACAGGATGGTGAAGTCTACAGGATTCCCTGTGAGTGTGGGAAGGTATTTATCGCGAAACTGGTAGACCTGTGCAGGAGAGACTCAAGGAGCAGGGATATCTGACTCGCTAAGACGCAGACTTCCGCCGTTTCGTGTACGCCCACAACACCGATCACCGCCCGCTCTGGAGCGAAGTAAAGTTCATTAATCGTGATCCCTATTTCTAAGCATGCAGGGTTAAAGGGGCAATTCATATGAGAATTCACCCTAACAACATTAACGGCGACTATGGAAATGAAATTCCACACGACTCGATGCCGAAGATCACAAAAACACAACGGCAGGGGAGCTGTGCGGCAGCGGACCACTTGGGGACACTGATCCGGAAGATGCACCAATCACAGTCGTGGAATTACATCTAGTTACAGCTCAGCACAACAGCATTATAGGTTAGCGTACTCAGTCGCCTGAAGAAGACTAGTAGTATGCAGTGGAAACACGTTAGAGGTGTGAGACAAACGATATCATTAATTTTCTCTTTTGAAGTGATATTTAACACGATAAAGAACCACAACCTATTTTACGACATAAACAA